GCTTTAGAATATCGATACAGTATCGGGAAATGAAATATCGCAATATTTCAGTGTATCGATATTTTCTTACACCTCTAATATTAACTAACCGCGTTAAATCTAACTGTGCACGTCACTGAAGAGGTGTTTACTACATTCAGCGATGGCGAAAACGGGATGTTTTTATAAACGTCGGTCAATATAAGCAGCGGAATCACCACCCGCGGTGCAACTAGCTGCACCAAACATTAGCATGCTAATGCACATAGCGGTGCAGCAAGGAAAAATGTCCCCCGGGAAACAACAGTTCACTGGCGGCTGCGACGAAACTTTCCGCTATTTAAACCGGAATGTCCGGTATTCAGAAAATTCATATCATAACAAAAGTAAAAACCGGTATTCGGTACAAAACGGTATACCGCCCAGCACTACCTTATGTTATTAAAAAACTAAATGTTTGTACATAGTAACAATCAAACTACACCAGAAGTGATAGTATTTTATTTACGGAGGGTATTTTATCTACAAAACTTTTGGTAATTTTTGGTATACTGAGCAGGTGAGCATTTTACATAACTTAGTTTGAATTAGGGTTGGGCATAATCGTATCGTGTGCAGTTAATCGTCAGAAAAACATTAATCGATTACTTTTTGGCACTTGACGGTTAATATTTAATTTATTTAATTAATGCCACCAGGCAGAGTCCGCTCACTTGCTGCTCCTCTCTGCTTCAAATATGATGAACATTAAAAAGAAAGTTCTGTTATTTATTTATCTATCAACACAATTTAAAATTTGATATATAGCCTGAAGTCTGTAATTTTGACAATTTGGAACAGATTTTTATGAAGAGCAAATCTTTCCCACTAAATTGGTCATGTGACCAGGACATGAGGGTGTCCAGGGACTCCAGAGGATTAATCGTCAAATTAATCGTTATCGGCTAAATACCACAATTAATCGTGATTAATTTATTTGCCAATATTGCTAATTGCTAATATACCTAATGTTCAGTTCAAACAAGTTTGCATTGTTTCAATGGTATTGTTCAACATTTTTTTTAATAAAAAAGGATTGGAACACGGAAGGTGTATTGTGACCTTCTAACACCTGATTAACACTTGATCAGTTATTTTAAAAAATCAGTATTGGCCAAAGTCAAAATCAGCATGTCAGATTTTTTTAAAGATTGGTGATAGGACAGAAAACTGCAATCGATGTACCCGTACAAGAGACAATAGTAGCTAATAAATAAATATGTAAATAGTAAATAAATATGGAGAATTTGTCTGGTAACAAATCATATTTTGTATGTGTTGTATTAAAGACATACAAAGACACAACAAAAAAAAAATACAAGAAACTCTAACATACATTAAAATAAAATAAAAGATAAATATTTTTACAACATAATAGCAAAAAATAAATAAATAAATAAAACTGTCAATTAAAAAGCCCAGGAATTAACATTCGTAATGTAGCTATTTTATTGTAGCATTTTTAACAACACATGCACAAGACTTTTAGGTAGGGAGGGATGCACCGATATGAAAATTTCAGCCGATATCGATATCCGATATAATTATTCCTGTTATGGCCGATAACCGATATTTACTGATATTACACAAACACACAGATTATATTATACATATACAAAAAAACACACTTGGGTCTTTTTTTTTTTTGATAACCGTAAATGAACAACCAGACTTCTGACATGGCTCTACCTCAGTTATTCCTGTTTACGCAGCGTAAATATCACTATCATGATCGAACAGATGCTGTTCAACCAACCATCTCCCCTCCCAAAACAGAAACACAAAGCTAAAAAGTGGGAAATCAATATCGGATGTTAATATCGGCCCAGTTTTACATATTGGACTGATACCGATATTCTAAAAAATTGCTAATATCGGCCGATACCGAAATCAGTACCGATATATCGTGCATCCCTACTTTTAGGTCATGAATAGCTTTAGCAACAAACATGTTTTTGTTCGGATGCAGCCAGGTAAAGAGTCCTGGTTCTCATCGATGTTAAAAAAAACATGCTTCAGTGACTTTTTAAATTTTGGTCTATGAATCTCAAACTACCAGTACTGCAAAATGGTTTATAAAACACTGTGTGAAGTGTTTTAAGATGGTCTCCAAAAATCAAACGCAATTTAGAAATGATTTTAGGTTGGTACGTTTTATTTATTTCTGGGACAGGAGATTAAAAACAGCCTGATGGTTGTTGAGAATGATGTTATCCTTTGATTTGTTGAACATATTGATATAAACTGAGGTAGTTCAAAGCTACATCACATAAGATATTAGTTGTTCCACAGAACATTGTTTAATATCTGTTCTATGATTTTAATTTTAACTTTAAAATGACTTTGGTCAATGAGAAAACAATTTCACAACAAAGCTAATCCGTTTGTCTGTTTGAACAGTCACCTCTCTTTGGTGCATTTAACATTCAGATTTATTTGAACATTTTACCAACAACTTTAATTTTAATAACCTAATAATAGGGGTGCAACGGTACAGAAAATTCATGATTCGGTTCGATACTTTAGTGTCACTGTTTGTTTGTTTTTTTAATTAAAAAAGAAGAAATTTCCATGCCCTTCTTAACTTGTAATTTATTGAAATTAATTATGAAGATATGTTCAACCTCTAAAGTACAGTTTTTAAATCAAATATTGCTGAAACAAGTTTCTCAGTGGATCTGCGCTTGATGCAGCCTAGGTGGAGTAGTTAAACGTAGATCCTCTGAGCCTTCAACACAGAGCATCTTCAGAAGACAAGTTGATGAAATAAATGTTAAAAATCTGAATTGTTCGATACATAGTGTGTACTGAACCTAGAGCAAGGTATTGAACCATCTGATACAGATGCATTTATTGTTGTACCCCTACCTATTAAGTATCTGATGTTTAAAGAAGTTTGTTTTAGGATGTTTCACCTTTAACCTATGTGAAGGGTCAGAATATTTCTTAAAATAAAAATAAAGCCATCCCTTCGACCTTCAGCTTCTGGATCTGGGTTGTTGTCACTAAAGCAGCAGCAGAGCATACCTGGCTGGCAGGTATATCAAGAAGGAAACAATAATTTCTTTTCATAACCAGTAAGTTTTACCTGACAGGTATGCACTGGATATGGGAAAGGAGAAACAGAGCTTTTGACAACAGTTTGTCCAGCTGGACTACTGTTTTCCTCAGGGATCATTTGCCTTTGGTCTCAAAAAACAAACTACACATCACATCTAGGTGAGAAAGCATGGTTGTTACAGAAATACAAGTTGTCGTATTAAATTTAAGAGTCATATTTATTTATCCTTCCTGCCAGGATCTGATACAGGTTCAGTAAAGTAACTGCAGGATGCATACCTAAAATAGTGTCCTGGTTATCTTGAATAAACACAAATCCAACGGTGCAAAACAAGGTTGTTCTCAGAACACCAGGAAAAGAAAAGCTAATAACTCTTACTCAGGGGCAATCCCTTTGATATGGCATCCAGACAGCAGAGTGAACTTTGCATTTTACAGCTATCCAAAGTTCAGACGAGACTTTTAGTTGGGCTGATTTTTTTTCTTTTTTCCTACAAAGTATACGCATAAAAATCACCATATAAGTCAAAGATGCATGCCTCTGAGCAACGGATGGACACTTCCTTGCTGCAGTGCTGTGCACAAACCATGCAATGCAAACTGCTGCTGCTTTGCTGTGGTTTCTTGAGTTCTCGTCTTGTTTCACCAGCAAAAGTATGTCTGTCTGCATGGTTTGTGACGCTCTAAAACAAAAATCTCAAAGTAAAACAAGAAATGTCAAGGGCTGTATTAACGGAGTTCAAACTTTGTTAAACATTAAAATCCCAGCATTCCTTGACAGAGTGCATATCGCCTGTCTGTCACCTTTCATAAATTAAGATCAAAATAAGTAAGTTATAGCAGGGTTTTGTTTTAATCAAACCTTGACATGAACATAATGTGAGCTCTTGTATCTTTTAGAACTTGGAGTATGTGATTGGAATGATTCTCAGCTATTACATCAAATTAAAGCTCAGTACCTGTAAAACTGACATTTGGTAAGTTTGAACTGGGTTGACTGAGAAATTTTACAAACAAACAGGCTGAATGAAACTGTTTATTGTAACATTTAGATCTTGTAGCTCTCAAAATATGAGTTAAAAATGATTCCCGGCTACAGCTTCACCAAACTTTAGCTCAACATCTGTCCATTTTTGTGTTTTCTATAGCCATTTGGTGGCCATCTTGAACTGGGCTGTCTGTAAGGTAAAGTTGTAGATGTACATCAATGATTACTCTGGAAGTTTTTATAAAATCTGTCCACTAGTTTAGGAGATATTTTGCAAACACAACAAATATATTATCGCCCACCTTTTGCGTTTTAGTCGCTTTCGATAAAAAGGGAATTCCTAGTTCCTCCTGTCTCAACTTCTATTTTAAATAAAAAGGGTTCAAATCTGCTGAACTTCTCTTGTTTTCTGACATTTGGCTTCACATTTGAGAAGCATCCTCAATTCAAAACAAAAAAGGTACAGAGCTGTAAGGTGTACAGCTCATGAGGGGAGAGAAGAGTGATTTGAATGAGAGTATATGCAGGACTGCTAACCCACATGCAAATCACACTTCCTGTCCCTCCCTCCAGAGGGTCGTTGGGCTTTGTGTGAATTGGTTGATTGTGCAAACTGGTTGAAATTGACCATCTAAACAAGGAAAAACCTACACTTGCGTGTCAGTAGATTTATGTAACAACATTCAGGAACACGCTGCCACAAAGAGAAGTGGTGAGCTGCGTGCATGCTGCAGCTTCTCAACCCCAGGAAGTCACAGAAAGTAGCTGAGGGAAGATCTGAGGCCACGACAGCACCTCAAAACAGACACTTCAACATAAATACAAGTTTAAATCAACTCTAGACAGACTGGGTTCGATCTGATTCCTCTAATAACTCTGGATGAAAATGAGCACGTGGACACAGGCATGTTTAGTTATAACAGTAGTTTCTCACCTGTTTCTGTGAAGCTGTTTGAGGATGCAGCGGAGAAAAATCAGCTACTGAGTCACGTTCGTGTTCATTTATGAAACAAGAGATAAACTCTTGACACGCCCTTCTCCAAAACACAAAAAGTCTGCTCCAACCTAACTCGAGCTGCTGATGTAAAAGTAGTAAAAATCCGTCATGTACTCCAGCAGACAAACATTAATAACTCGAAGGCTGCGCCTCCTGTCAAAAATATTTAAACAGAAAATATTTAAATAAGTTTTCTACAGTTCTGTCTCAGCTGTCGAGACGGCCTTATTCTTAAAAAATAAATAAATAACACACAGGAGTTAGCAAAACCGCTAGACCAGAAGCGCGAGCTCTTCGTCTCTGAGTCAAAAACTTTCAAGTTTTGCCCCACCTTGATTTTTTCCCCCCACTGCGCATGCGCGCTGCGTCTGCCTAAAAATAAATTTTCGCGGAACATCCATTTCTGTCACATCGGAGGAACTTCGGCATCAGTGAGGCAATGTTTACGTAATAAGTCCAGACACACAGGTGGTTAAGTTTAGTTTGGGTTTTTATTATTTTAAACTGCAGACACCTGACAGTTTCACAGTTTTCCCAACAATCAATGTGACTTCTAAAGCGATAGGTAATCTTGTGTGAACTTGGATATTATTTCAAAGTATTAACAGCTTTCACATAAACAAAACAACTTTGAAAGCTCAGTACATCCGCATTTTCACTTTTTTTTTTTTATCTTTATTGTGGGAAAGTATTTGAATGTGAAAAAAGTCACTGATTACAACAAAGCTGCCATAGCGGAATAAGGAAGAGGCACCAAAATGCTGTTTTGTTGCCCTCTTGTGGCCAAAAATAACAATCCTTTGATTCACATTCAGTAACATTCAGTTTCCTCATCAGACTTGTCTCAACAGATGTGTCGTTACACATCAGGCTGCAGGAATGTTGGACAAAGAACAAAATTATTGAGCAGGCCAGTAGTGAAAACACAAATCAACTGTTTTCTCTTCCTAAATGTTAAAATGTTGACACCAAGGAGAACCTGGATTTGTAACTTCAACAAAAAATGGACCACAAACATTTTAGGTTCAACTAGACTAATATCAAAGGCTGCCAAATTATAATTACGAATGCCTCTCTAAAAAAAATATTGGCCATAGGAGACTGATAAATTTATTTCTAGGTTTGGTTTTTGCAGCTGTAAAACAAAAAGGTGGCAACAATCTGTCAAAACTTCTAAATGTAGCACAGTTGAAGCAGCTTAAGTTATAGTTCACAGTTTGTATGTTTAAAGTTAAACATCAGCCAAACTACCTAAAATGAAAAAATATATACCTCAACATATACATGCTGTTTTTGTTTTACGATTGCCATAAACAATTTGTACATGACCCAATTCTATTCGTTCATAAAGCTCCTCTGTGCAAGACATTGTTGACAAGTTGTGTAGATCAGCACACAGTAAATAAAAGGCATAGTACTCCTACTGCATTTATCACTTGGCACAGCTTTCAATACAAAATAAACAGGAAGAGTTAAACTGTAATACTTGAAGGATCATGCCAGTAGTTTTTAGCCCTTAGAATTTACATCAGTTTTGGGAGCATTTTATCAGCCGTTAAAGATGTTAACATCTGGAAAATAAAGCATCACAACACGGGACAAAGCTGAAAGCCTAACATTTGTTAGTTTAATATGGCTTTCAAAGCTCATTTAAACTACAGCTGCATCACAAAACCACGATGCTACCAAGACGGAACGGACTTGCTCATTACTGTGATGGATTACGATTTAGAGACAGCTTTATAGGTCAAAAGTAAATCGGAAGACAAGTTTCTACAGTGCAAGAAAAATTAGTTGTTAAAAAAAGAAAAAAAGTTGTAGCCATCAACCCTTTGGGTTTCACCCTAAGTGGAACTTTTAAATAGCGATAGCCCTTCATCTGAAAACGGTACAAATATTTAGGGTGTAAAACTTACTTCCTCTCAAATGATCAAACAAAAAGACTACAATTATTTTGAGTGTAGTCAACCCACAGAGTTCTAATTAAAGTCATCTTTAGCATGAACAAAACTGTTTTTAAACAAATGGCTGCACAACTGACCAACTCACCGTGTTAAAATAGACAACAGTCTAAATTTCCTAATGTGAAACTATCAAATTTAAACTTCAACAATCAAATGACGTTAAGATTAGTCAAACATGCCTGTAGTTTTATTCTCAAAACTCAGGTTAAGACTACTGTTACACCATGTGCGTGCAATTTAGGATGATAAGTAGCGACTTGGCAAAACAGACGCTCTAATTTTCGCAGAACAAGAAAAAGCTGAGAAAATTTAATTGCACGTTGTTGAAAAACTAACCTATAACAGTTTACAGAAATGAGCTTGGATAGAAACTCATCTCTTCGAAAAAGGCTACGGCCACTTGAGGAACTGAAGCTGCATCTAGTACCCGTCTTCTCGGCTCATGAAAACCAATGTAAAGCAGACCCAGGCTGAAAACAGGAACTGATCTCTGAAAGTGGAACTCGGATCACTTTATGAAACATTGTGTGCATTATATTATATGGTGGATTTACACCAACACACCCGATGGCTTTAAAAGTCGTTTAAAGTCAGAGATTGTCCTATTCAACTTTAAACACCTAAATGATTTCGTCCCTTAAAGCTTATCTACAACTTTCAATGGTCAGAACATCTACTTTTAATTAACGACTCAATAGCTTATTCCTCCATCCACATGTTCTGATACCTGAACATTAAAGTACACAACCTTGGTCCTTTAACATGGTACAGTCCAGTTTAAACACTGAATCAGAAGCTGCTGAACTGAAAATCAGCATAGCCTCTCGGAACATAAGGCGCCAAAACCCAAAAGGTCAAGAAACGTGAGAACCTTAAATCAGTCGTTTCAAGCAGAGTGTAAAGGGATGACGAACTTGCAGCCGAAAGGAGAATGGTATTTGATTCCCACTTCCTGGAACACGTGGCGAGGAACACCTATGTCACACAGGTAAACCCTGCCGGCCCCCTCAGCCAGAGGAAGCGGGAGGCAAAGCGAGAGGGACCACTTCGCCTCAACCGCATGGCCCTGCCCACTTACAGGAGGATCCAAACTGAGCACCGGTGCTCTGTTCTGGTTGGCCCAGTCTGCAGCTGCCCGGTACCAAGGCTGGTCCATCAGGAATGTGTTTTCGTGGCAGTCCAGACAGTTTATAATCAAATCGACTGGGGTGTCGGGAAGGTCTTTGGAGTTAAGAGGGAGAAAAAGTAGTTTGTTAATAATTAAACTTTTCACGTTAAGTTAATGATGTCAGAAGAAAACCCACCTTTGATGCTGGACACCTGTTTGCCACTAGTTTTACTGAAGAGTGTGAGCTCGCTCGTCACAGAGTCGAGCATCTTGACAAAGTTCGGCAGGAACAAGATGACCTCCACTTCGTGATTGGCCAGGTGGCGACCACAACTGATGCCCTGAGCTCCCTGAACATGAGGGCCACACAGCAGCGCCACTGTGGGGTGCTGATGTAAATTTTTTGGCGTGAATCTGAAAATAATAATAAATAAATAAATAAATAAATAAATGTGCTTTAAAATTTTGTACCAAAACACCACAGAAACATCCAAATTAGAGAAACTGAGAATTTACAGCTCATTATTATTAATGCTGGGTGAAAAAAAAAAATCTATTAAATCGATCTTTGGTTAAACTTTGCAGTATTGATTCATAGGGCATGAGATCGATTTTTTCTCATGAAGTTAACCTCAGCAGACTTGTGTGTGATCAAACAGAGGCTTGCCATACATTTGCGTTCGGTTCATAAAAGCGACAATGCTAGCTTCCAGCGGTTCCCCTACCATTATCTAAGGAATAATGGTAATGGTAGGGGAAACGAGACGGTCCACCCCTCCAAGAATTTCACAGCATGTAGTCATTTTTATTTAAATGGGGGCAGATCAAGTCTCAAGGTTTAATCAGGCAGTCAAATATTCACATCTCATGAGGCCCATCTCATCACATCGCTGTAAATGTATTACTATAACTGAAGGTGAGTCATGCAAATTTGTGTTTGTAGACCCCGCCCCCCAAAGACAAATTCCATAGGGGAAACACTGACTTTTGACAATAAATCTTTAAAATGTGACCTTCAGACTTCAGCATGAACTGTTAACAGTTCAGAGGCAACCAGTTATGCACAGAAGAAGTAGTGTCCCCACACGCAGCGGGCTTTGTTTGAAGAAGTAACCACACCTGCTACTTATGTTCTGAAGTTCTTGTACAATCAGAAACAATTAAATTATCTGACATGCTTGTTAGGTCCAGAATTTACATTTGATCTTGCCTCTGGATTCTGCAGCATAGCATTGTATTTTTGGACCAGAGCAACAAGCTGAAGGTAAAATAAACTCTGTATCGATCGGACTGTAGATTTCTCAGTCATCCAGAACGTGGGAAATGAAAAGGACAAAGATGAGGCCCCTGGACTCACGCTCAGATACTCTGAAATCCCCTGATTTAGGGAATTGGTCATAATAGTAAATCTTTATAAGATCTAAATAAAGTTAGATAACTCACTCAAAACCTTTTTAATCACACAGCTATACATTTTCTAAGATCATGTGTAAATGTCTACATTATGACTACATGCTTACCTGTTGGGCCCTCCTAGTAATGTAAGTGCCATCTGACTGGCGCACACTCCAGTCATCTCAAGCCTTCGCTCCAGTGTGAGACCATGACGCTCGGCAGCAGACAACAGACGCTTGTGCAGCTCATAGGATATACTTGGTACCACAAGTCCAGAGTCTGAACGGCACAAAAAAAAAGTTACCCTTTCCTCTTTATTTTGTTAATAAACATCTCCTGTTCTGAATGTGAAATACTCACCAGTACAGTATTCATTGGCCCCAGGCTGAGGTACAATAATCTGTCTGTAAACAACAGGTTTACCCTCCAGGATGTTTTCATCATGACGGTACCGTGAGGGCGTCTGATCCTGAGGTGTGCCACGTGACCGTGCACCGTTACGGCGCTCTGATGTGTCAATCTCCGAGAAAACTGCCGCTTTGTCAAAAAGTGCCAGGTTTCCTTCAAAATCAAAGTCTGTATTCAGGCCATCATCCACGCCGTCTCCGAAGCACTCGTCATCTCTGTGCTTCATCTGACCGTTCTTCATGCCATTCTTTTTTGGTGTTGCTTGGTTTGGCCCTCGGCTACTCGATGACCCTGATGGAATTGCAAGAACATCATCTGTTAGTGGTATGCCACAGAAATGCCAGTCACGTGGTTTTATGACCAGATCTTACAGGAGTTGTGTCTTCGACGAAACCCTTTAGGCTGGCCCAGAGCATCCAGGTGACGGTCTCCGTAACTCTTCGAGCATTGCTGTGGAGAGTTCAGTTTCTCAACAGATCTGGGGTCACCCTTTGGGACTGCAACGGGCACGCTGCTTACGTTTGTGGCTGTGGTCCTAGCATTGCTGTTTCTAATGTCCAAAATCTTTAGTTCCTTTATATCGATGGCACTGGAGAAGGAATAACATTTTCAATAATTAACAAAACATTCAACCAATCGGCCTAAACTGTGAAAAAGATGTAACAACAGAGAGAGAAAAATTTTTTACCTGAATGTGACCTCGGGAACGGGGCACTTGACTCCGTTATGGAAAGGCTGTCGTAAGGAGATGGTTTGGCTTGACTGGTCCACAGACGACACTTCTCCTTGATAGACTCCCAGCGTTGGCCCACAGTTAATCGACACCAAACTACCCAACCAGTCAGCAGCCATTATCTGCAAAGCGTTGAAAGTTTCCATCAAACATTTTTACTCAAAAAGGTCGAGCAGTAGCCGTGGGTTTTATGACAGCAACACTAACTTTCTATGTTGTTCGCTCGTGTTAACGCTTAGCTTAGCATTAACTTTGGCCTTATCAAGTTAAGTTTCTATTCAGTGACAATTTCAAGATAAAATGCTTCAGTCAAGTACCTTGAAGTTTTATATCCTTTAAAGAAGAAGCAAATCCCTTTCGACAACAAACGACGACGAACAGTAACAGGGTCTAAATGTGCGTTTTTCGCTATTAGCTCATCAGCATTTGTAGTTACGGCTTACGACTTCCTGTTTCCGGTTTAGGGTGTTTTTCAAAATAAAGCTTAAGACTTTTAATTTCGACTCAAACCATGAGAGCCAAAACCCATTACCACATGAGAAAAATACAGTGCCTCTCTTATGGAGCTTTTTTTGGGGCCATTAGTTTTGTTCAAAAGAAAAACATTTTGAAACTCAAAAAAAGATATTTGAAACTGAAAAATTATTTTGAAACTAAATAATACAG